CCCCCCCCCCCCCCACACTTCCCTTTCCCCCATGTTATCACGCATCACAACAAACAAACACAACCCACGCTTTCCTGTTCCTGTAAAGCACATCTGCAACCCCACTGTGGTGATCCCCAAAATATCCCAAATGTTTAGCGCAGGAAAAGCAGTTCAAATTACTTTGAATTTGAACTCTGGTTCAGTCAGAGATCATGGGCATTTGTCAATTTTGACCTCTTATTGTATTCAGTAAGATGGACTTTGCGCGGCATAAAAATGATGAATAATAATAAAAATCATCATCATCATCATCATCATCATCATCGTCATCATCATCATCATCATCATCTTATGCTGTGAAATTGTCAACGGTTGTGCAAGTCCTCCATCCTTGATTAATCACTTGGTCGCCCCTTCATCAGTTTGCGACAAGTAGTATCCAACTGAACTTTAAAACCAAACATGTTTGACTTATGATAATCAGAGCTGGTTGTGCCAAAGAGAAAAAGAAAAAGAAAAAGAGAGTGATTTAGGGAAATCTGGTAGACCACTCGTTGCCATGATGCAGAATAGGACAGTTAATGCACAAACACAAATACCTTGACTGCTAGTACAGCCGACCTCGTTATACTGCTCCCCATTATACAGCCAGGTTTTGCCAATGTACGAAAAGGAACACCATATAAACATAGTAGGCCTACATTTATTTTAGTATGTGTGCCTTTACATCGCCATCCATCAACTATCTGAGATGTGCGATGTAAATTCGCCCCGCTGCACTGCCATCGAACAGGCCGCCAGAGGTACATTCACATAGTACATAATATGTACATCATACATGACTTACATGACATAAACATTGTAACACACGGTGCATGCCACCCACTCGTTGGTTGCTTGTAATTGTAATCTCTCTCTCCCACGCTATCTCGGCTCACTGGCAAAATCTCTGGCGTCGCCAGATATCAGCCCGATGACCTCAAGGCTGGCGGCGCCTGCGAAGCATTTACTTAGTGGGGATTCACGCTGAAGTCTACGTGACAGGTCTGAGGCGATCCCAGGACTGACGGGTACCGGGTTAACAAAAAACGACATCTACAGGGACTTTGACAAAACATGTACATGTATCAGCCTAGCATTTGATCCGCAGAAATTGTCAATTTGTGTTCATGTAAAGCTCAGCTGTGTTTGAATTGTAGCTACTTTTCAAACATAGATCATACAGCAGAATCATTTCCTTTAACAATGGCAGTCGGGGCTATTTAACAGAGAAACCCCGTTAACCACCAGCCCCACTATTACGTTAACTTCATGGTTGTCCCAAGGTTGACAGTATAACGGGGTTTGACTATACAAGAAAAGTGCAGTGAATCTTATGAAATGTGACTGATCTTAACGCCCTGTCAATACTGAAAGTATAATTTGAGAGATGAAACCTCCACATTTAGCACCCATCCCGAAACGACTAAGGCAAGTTGGTGGGAAGCCTTGAAAAAACCCCAGTAAGTTCCAGAATGCCTTGCTGGGGATTTGAACCAGGTGCAATGCATGGTAGTCCAGCATGATATCAACTGAACAATCAGAGCTCCTGCAAACTTGCGTTGCTGTAAGTATTCTTAAGTCAGAATAATGAGCTTAATATGGCAATGAGAATGCAAAATGGAACAACGAAGGAGAAAACCAGAAAGCTCTGGCTACTTAGTAAAATCTCCAATTACAGAAAACCCATGCATGTGCCTCTGCAGAATGCAGTTCACTTGTGCGGGTCATAAAAAAGTCAAACATTAATTTGAATATGGTCTTTTATTATTTGCAACAAAATCCTACACACAGAAAGCTACAATCTATAATACTTTGACAGGTTAACTGGGTTGGGAACAAAACTATTTAGAGCATAAATGGATTATATTACAATCTTGTCACTGATACAGTTACAAACAAGAAAAATCGAGTAAAAATAAAATATTGAGCCCTTGAAAATGTGATACCTAGGTATGTCATACAATTTCAAGTTTCCAAATCACAGATTTATAATATGTGGATAAAATTTCCCACAGCGTATGGCACATAATAATACAGCAAAGACACACTTCACAAAGACACCATGTATACATGTGCGATAAGAAGAAGAGTTTGAGTTTGAGTAAAGAGAAGCGCATCGACACAATAACTACCACTAAGTGCTGAGAAAAAGCAAGACATGCAAATAGAAAGAAAAGAGGGAAAGTAAAGAAGTAGGACCAAACAATGGTGAAAGCAGCAGATTAAGTAACGTTGATAACAATGTAAAGATAAAAGTCTTTAATACTCCTCCAGTTCATTGTAAATCTTAAGAACAAAATGGAAAGAAGAAGGCATGAAACTAAAGCACCTAATTCTGTGTACTACGAAACTGAATTTTATATTCAGCAAGCTTAAGGCAACAAATTTTCAAAGATGAAGATACATCTGAAAAGCAAAAGTTCCGGTAAAAATGAGATTAGAAAGCATTCATTTTGCAATAAAAAGACGAATACATGTGTATAACAAAATAGCGATTCTATCAATGCTTTCCTAATAAATTAAAAACAGTATTTCTCTCACCAAGTAATACTTTGCTTGCCTCCACTAGCAATGTGCTTGAGGGTAGTAGAGTGTGTTAATTGGCAGCAGTGTTCAGGAAGGTATTAACTCTGTCCAAAGGAATTTCCGAGACTTAAAAACTATATCATTAATTCAAATATGTGGGTGGCTGGAGGGTGCTCTGGAGTGGTTTGCTTCTTCTTTCCGATCAACAAACATTTGTCTTAAGTCCTTATAATATCTCCTTACTCTTTCTTTTCTGTGTTTTTTTACACTCTTGTAACACCTCATCTTCGGCATTCATATTACCTTATTGTTTTGAAAGTGCCATAAGTGCTTACTAAAATTAAACAGTTCAAGTATAACTACTGCTTTTATCAGGGAAAAAGAACACACGACAAACAGTGGTATATATTTTTAGCATTCTGACACGCATGGCTTTCACTTGTGTGTGTGTGTGTGTGTGTAATGTGCACTTTTATGGGTGCACCCTTTTACAGCAGTCATCAAACCCATGTATCTGCTCAGGCGACAGTGAAAAGACCAGCACACCCAACAAGACATGAGACAATCTGAGCTGTATTGAAGATGA